CAGTGCATTTATTCCACTGCATGAAAATTCATCCTTTGTAGGTTGTAGATATATGCATTTGACAATTTTGATCCATGAAGAATTAACAAATAAAAAGGTTGAAAAAGATATAGTTTGCAAAGCAACAGTTGATGAAAAAAACAACAACAAAAGTTGAGGATACAGAGAACTCAAAAAAGAAAGTACCAGCTCCACTAAGGGGCTTCCTATTTCTCCCAAAAGGCATCTTCAAAGGAATATTAATAATTGAAGACCCTTAGCCCATCTCTGGGAGTATATGACCAATTACCGCTATGTGGACTGCGCCAAGAGTGCGGCTGTGTACTCCAAAAGAGAATGGAAGAAGACTAAATAAAGCTATGAAAAAGCTTTTTTAAAGTAGTCAATAATATAGTAGAGAAAGTCAATAATATAGTGTCATATTGATTGATAAAAACAAATGGACGCTATTTTCTATGTTATAATGTTTCCTCATCAAAAACATACCTGGAGTTGTGTTTGAGTTCTTCTCTGAAACTGAAAACACTTTCATCTTGTGATGTTTTGTGGTAATACAGGAAGTTTTCTACTGTGTTTTTAAACTCCATACACCTTCCATTAAATCATTTGGCTAATTTCAGTTCTGAAACTACCAACCTCTACTGAACAAAAGATAAAAAGTAGCTGTTAACTTGAAAATGACCGCTTTATGACATCACAAGGTGGAACAGAGCATTTTGAGCTTCGGAGATGTAGAGAGACTTATAACAAAGAATTACTCAAACATGTGTGAATGAAACAAAACAGAACTCCAGGCACGAGAAAATGTGCAGTCATTTGCAGGTTTTAACTATGTATACAGTCAGGTTGCAACAGTAAATATTGTAAATGACAAAAAATATTGACTGCTTCCAAATGCAATATCTGACTGTAAAATCCTTTATTGTAATAGGCCGCAGTGCACCATTTGCTCATTATTGGTCTATTGTCACGGTGTGTTTGTCAGTCGGAATACGAGGCAGCTTTGTTGGCTTGACTAAATATTAATTTCCATTTTTATCGTGTTTGTGTTGTCGTTGGCTGTACACAATGCATATTTACTCATTTTAAAAATATATTCTTATTATGCGTGCTATCATGGAAGATAAGCCCGTGGGCCAAAAGAGAACCAAACAAACCATAACATTTGAATATCGCACATAAATAAAATTATTATCTTTTGCTGATCGTAAAATAAACTTAGCTGTCATGTTTTACGCAATAGAAAGACATATAATCTAGATATATAGCACATATATGGCATAGGTTTCACAATGTGTTCAGAGCTGAAATGCATGCAAGCACAATCCATATTAAAATGAACTTGCAAATAAGGAAGCACGCATTATTATAGTTAGGGCTGGCGGGATTTATTGAGCCATCTTTCTTTCTCTTTTGATTAAAACTGTCTACTTCTGTGTTTGATTTATGAGCGGGGACGGCGTGCGGTGATGGAGAGAGAGAGAGAGAGAGAGAGAGATGGAGGGATGACATCATGCTCGGAGCTGCAAAAGGATGCAATAACACAAGGAAGTGGCATTGTGTTTTTGAGGGAAGAAAAAAAAGTGTTTGTACAAGGTGGGGGCCGGTGGCAGCTTTGTGCAGTCTCTCAGTCCAGCAGGTGGGAGGCGATATCATTGGACAGACACCACTGGTCTGTCTGTGTGTTTGGGTGTTACTCGTGGGTGTAGAAGACAATGGAAGAGAGGGAGAAGGAGAGAATAAAACGCTTAGATTATATGTAATAACAGGGGGCAAAACTGTGGGCCCCCAGTAGAGAGGCTATTTAGGGAGAAAGGAGTAGACTTACATTTGTTAGGAGACAAAGTACTTCTACTACCTCCATGTGGGAGTTTTCTTTAGAGGTAATAGTACACTTGAGGACAAATGTCTACATCCTTTATGATGCTAATTTCATTTTAGCAGAGGGTTACACCTACCAAGCATAATTAAATTTAATCTTTTGTTGATGAAAAATGTGTCTCTCTTATGCCTTAAAATTTGTCATCGGATCCTTTGGTACTACAGTTGCTTCAATATATAGTATTCAGTATATAATACGCCTGTACTCCTTTAGTCGTTAAGTTGATTAATCGGTCGCTGACATCTTAGTCAACCAAAATTTGTATTAGTCAACTTTTTTTTATTGAGATTATAAGGATTTATTTACACCATAACACGAGGAAGAAGGTATGGAGTGAAGATTTGAGTGTGAACTATGAGTTTAATCTTTTAATCTTTTTTACATACAGACACTGTTTCCTTGAACTTTTGAGTTTAAATTGTTGTTTTTGGACAAACAACTCTGCCGTTTTAGTATTTTGAGTGTGGTTTTGGTCAGATACATAGTCAGATCACTCATACTGAAAACTTTGTCACGGCTCCTTTTTAGTCTGCTAATTGATCGGCAGGATATCTTTAGTCAACTAAGGAATTCTTTAATCAAATACAGCTATAACATTTAGGAATCAACTTCCTTGATAAGTAATCATACTTTATCATAACAATCTTTATTTATGCTTCCCACTTCTGTCATGAGAAAACAGAAGGACAAACAACTGCACGAGACAAGACGAGTCAAACAGAGTGAGAGACCTAGACAGAAACTGAGATCATATCTGCAGGAAGAGATTGTTGAGATGGCAGACAGATGGAGAGAAAGGCTCCCGCTGTGTCAGAGGAGAAAGAGGGGCTAATCTCCATCAGAAATGAAGCTGACAATTACGTTTGAATGTTATTTAAACCGGGGGAGCAAATGGCACCCGCACATGGTGGGTGACTGAACTCAAGCTGGGGACATGAAACATATTGTGAGGAGGATTAAATCTACACCTCTGCCATAATTTATAGTCTGTAAACAATATGCACATAATATGGGAATCGCATGTACAATAATTACATTTAAATATATATTTTTTATCATTATAATGCGCTGATACAGGTCTGTCAGTTCTATGATGACATTTTCAGATTTTAACGGTGCACTGTACACATTTTCTGGTGGAGGGTCTGTCACCTGTTCTGTGATATGTCATTAAACAAATTTATTTTCTTTGTATCTGTTTTCTACAAAGACTCCTTAATGCACATTTGTTTTCAGTCATACTAACAGCAAACATAACTGTGCTGGATAATGCATGTGTGAATATGCTAATTACGTTTCACTCTGCCTATACGCAAACATCTGTCCCGCTTCCTGTATACAGTGGGATTGAATATATGAATACATTTCCAATCAACCTTCCCAAGTACAGGAGAATACAGAGTTCATTTGGGGACTCGCATACTTGCACTGTCCCATTTTTCCACTTCCGACCGACGCTATTGCCTTTTTAAGACTTACAAATGTCTACCACTATACGTGTAATAAAGGCACATTTAACTTTTCTGGTTTGATTTGTGCTGAAGGGCAAACAAGAAGTAGGGGCAAAGATATTTTTAATTTTTTTTTCCCTATGACTGAAAAGGCAAAGTCACACTCCTGTCCTCTATAGATATACGCACTATATATAAAGTCTAACTAAGAATCATTTGCATACAAAGCAAGCTTCACATGACATACTGTACGCCGGAAACAATTAAAATAAATTAGCATACATCAGCAAGGACAAGGAAGCTGTCTACATATGTACAAACACTTCTCTCAAACTCATAGGATTTACACACAGTGAAACCCAAGGGGAAAGCCACCCCGCATCCCCATCACTCTCTTTCTATCTGAGCGCAGTGCCTTCCCCTTTGTTCCATCTCCCTAATGCTACTCTAAGCTCATCTTAACTGGGAAATGGTGCAGAACAAATCCTACGCAGGAGTTGACAGGGCGGGATAAGAGACTACCAATGCACCTCGTGTTTCTATCTCAACTAAGTAATAAAAGATGATGAATGCGCTCTGACTTCATACTGGTGAATATTTGGTTGGAAAATGAAAAATCCATTTGAACTGATTGGTGAAGCTTATGGTGTTGTACAATGTGACCATTAGAAAGACTTACAAGGTAGGGAGCTTGTGAGCTGCAAGGATACCACAGCAACTACTACAAGCTTACAAACTACTTCATAGGGATGCACTAATCAGATACTGGTAATGGATATTGACGCCGTTTGGATAAATTGTGTCTTTTTTTCCGTATAAATAAATGCTGTTTTCAGTCTCTGCACTGGCATCTGTTGATATTGGGTTTTGGAACAGAAAAAGCTGAAGTTGCAGTGCATCCCTACAACTTGAACTTCAACAAATTCTACTTTGACCACTGCATTTTATAACTAACACAATGTTCATGTTAACTTTTTTCTCAGTTTTCTTTTTGTATGTATATTTTTCATATTACACAACAGAAACCAGGGTAACAGTGTATTTCTACCATGGAATTTAAAAACAACTTAAATTGTGTGTAACCAAAATATATAGGATTGTTGGTTATAAAACATGGGTGGGTCTGTTAGTTGTAGGGGTGTAATGATATCCAAGTCTCATGATACAATATCGTCACAGGATGAACCTCATGGTACGATATTTATTGCGACTGTGGGAAAGCTCACGATATGGTGGGGAGGCTCACGATTAGAAATGTAACAATATCCAAATCTCTCTGCATGATATTTTCACAATATACATCTCAAGGTACGATATTTATTACGATATTTTGTGGAGGTGGTTAATATGCTACCTTTTCCTCTTGAAATGCCTTGACAAGACTTAATCCAAAGAACTAAGACTTAAAAGTGTTTAGAACTGTTATTTCTTTTTGTAGTTTACACTGAAATGGAGCAAAGGTTCATGGTCTGTGTAGTTCTTTGTCTTTTTTTAGCTATTGCTGCACCATACCTCTTAAAAGAGACTTGTAATTCGATATATTGTGATGGTCCATGATATTATTGTGAGAACTTTGACGATACGATATCATGATATTTTGGTTATTGTTACATCCCTAGTTAGTTGTAAACATAAATAACTTTGTTTCCATTGGTGTATAGACTTACATAAGGCCTGGGAGCTGGTGAGCAGCAGTGATAGCAGCAGTGTGGTGACAGGCAGCAGGACTGGCAGGGAGAGGCGAGGGGCTCCGGCGTTGGCCATCCTGACTCCAGAGAGGGGAGGGGGGCAGGGAGAGAGGGAGGGGTTACGGATCGACCTGGCCCCGACCAAACAGGGAGGGCGGGGCTTCACACAGGATGGCTTGATACTCTGGAAGAAAACACAAGAAATGGAGAATATTTAATGATTGGAGAAGACAAGCATATATGAAGGTTAGAAAATAAGGTGGTGTTCAGGACAAAGTAGATATAAAGCTATTAAAACACTGTACATGTAAGAGTATAAATGATAAAAAGCAGTGTAAACAACAGACATATTCGCCCTAGTGTTTTTAATATTCAAGATAAGTAATGTAATCATTTGGTACATTGAGCACCACTTTAAGTAAATCTAGCTGAATTCATTGTATTGTATCTTTGAATGTATTTTCATCTCACGTTTTATCGCATTTAGTGAAGATTTGCTCCATACTAATGCACTGTCTTACTAAAACAGAATAGAAAATTCAGTATTAAAAATGCATAGCTATCCAATGGCACTTGAACAATAGGCACTTTGTTTTACGGGTCACCCAGAAGGCAAAGTGTTGTCTGCAAAACTGTGAAACCCACATCACAAAAGTATATAATAGGCCAGGGTAACACGATCGCACTACCTTGGTTCAACCCCTGTGTCAGCGAGCATCTGCCAAGCCTTCGTGTCCTTGAGCAAGACACTGAGCACGCTCCCTTTACAACTCAGCGGCGCCCATGAGAGGCACAAGGGTGACTGTGTAGAAGTGAGATTAATTACCTGCACCCCGGGTGGTTAACTGGGTGCCGCAATACAAACTGTGCAGACAGCAGGCACTTTGTCATAAAGCAGACTCCTTTGTAAGGGGGAGCATGGAGGTTAAAGATAATATTGTGTCAACACAGGTTTACAATTGGGATCTATAAAAAGGAGCACTTCTCAAATGTCCCTGAACATTTCGTATTAAATCCTCACCGGCAGACTTAAAGAGCAGCTTTTCAACACAGAGACAGTAACCCAAGCAAGTGACAGACAACTCTATAATGGTTAATAGCAGTTCACAAGGGAACGAATGGTAAACACAAAAAGGGGAGAAAAGATTATGTCGATGAGAGGAGCAAACTCAAAATGTTGACATATTTTTGTTATTCAGCATTCCAATATAAGTTTTTATATTTACTCTTCAAAACACAGTCAAAATAAAAATATTGTCCACTTTCAAGCCTAGCCTGAAAAGTGAACAGAATTTTTGTTCCGTTTGCAAACATCAGACTAGTGATGTTGCTTTTTTTAAATGGGTAAAAATAAGAAAACGTGTTTAATTTTAAGAAATACAAGACAAATTACTTATTCATGTAGGATTCAGACTAGAGAACAAATGAACTAGCACTGGCAACACATGAGATGTTAATACAGTACAAAAGAGTGACTTCTGAATGTGCTTGACAATACAGCTGACTGGCATCCCTCCATCATACCATACATTCATATTCCACAGCTAAGGCCATATATAGAGTACATTTTTCAGCTGTAACTTCCTCTCACCTCATTCTCTCTCTCTCTGTGCAGTTTTTCTTCAAACTTTTTCTATTTAGATGCCCAGTGAGAAAGGTTCCATAAATTCCACTACACGTGCCAGACACACTTTCTGGAGTTTTGAAAGAGCCTGATCAACAATAGATCTTTTGACTGACGCCGAACAAGAAAAAGGTGGGCGTATTTCAAAAAAAGCGCAGCTCCTCTTTCAGCACACAATACACATACACGACTGACATGCGCACCCTTGACTCCCTATTTTCTATTTCTATGCTTCAACCTGGAGGCAGAGTGATGTAACACACAGGAATAAGAGAGTATCGAATAATCTATGGGCCTTGTGAATGATGGCCCTATTGTCTGTGGGTGTAAACATGGGTGTAGGTAGGGCTAATCTTTCCAGGCCTGCAGGGATTTGCTACAGCTGCATGCCTAGGTTATGATTTATGGCACTACCCCCCAGGCCAAGCATTTCTATCTCTTCCTCTAGTTGCTATACAAACTTCACAACACAATTACAACCTCCATTGTTGTTAAGACAGCCGCTTCACTACACGTAACCTATGGCGATGTGTGGGCTACTAACTATCGATTCATCCTCTCTGAACATGTAGTATAGCCTGAATTCCTTGGAAGTGGATTGAAAACTTTTAACATAGCATCATGGATGTGAGGCAATATATCTGTTTTTTCAATCTAAAGGTAAACACTATATTAGACACTGCTGTTAGCACCACATTGAGGAAACCTGTCAAGTCTTGTTAAAAGCATTCTTCTTTTTTTTTAAGGACACAGAAATGGACAAAAATGAAGCGTTCTGTTTAGCAAGCTGAGAGGCCAATCGATTGATAAACCCATACCATTACCCCAGCTGTGATTGCAAACGGAAACTGCTAATGGTCAGTTTCCTCCTTTTAAGGCTTTCTACAACGAGATAATTCGAATGAGCATTTTATCAGAGACATTTGACAAATAATGACATTGTTACTCCATCTCTCATATCTTGCTCATTCCAGTATCACAAATGTGCCAATGTGCATGCAGGGAGCTAGGAGAGCTAAAATTCTCAAACTTGGACCTGAATTTTGTTTAAATAATCTAAGTTTAATGTTTAGGGCGGACATCAGACTCTTTACACATGGTATTTATTTAAAAAGCATGTTTAGAATTTCACATTTATAAAAATGTTGGCAACACAAAAAATACATAAAAATCTCCCATTGCACAGTGCAGATGGATTGGTCCATCAACATACTTGGCATAAGACAGGGATTTGCTGTTTTCAGACATAAAATAAGATTTTTATATGATTTTAATTACAGGGGCTGTGCATGAACATACCCAACAGTCTTTTATAATAACAGCTCAGACTGTTGCTTGCATAGCACTTAGTCTTTGCATGCAGGTAATTTTTTCGCAATTTAACACCTCCATATGGCATTTAAGAGCGTGATCATTTAGAGTCTACTCATTTACTTGTCCTCCCATATAATTTATTTGCTCGGTATATGACGCTGGAGCTCTGTAGCATGGCTCTCTGCATGCAAGGAGAGTGTATGTGATGAGACATACCACACAAGCCTGCCACTGCGGCGAAACTAGAATATAACAACCATCTGTTGTTGAATCACAAAATGTATTGATTCCATGTGTCACTGAAATTTACTTTTCCTTGACTTTTTATGCACCACCCGACTAGAAGAAGGCTTTTGTATCGAAATACACAGATTCAAATCTGTCATCTCAACATAAATACATTAAGAAAACATGTACATTTGCTACTTCTTCTTGATCAAAGCTATCCTTCAAATCTACCATTACTTCTCCTTTCCACATACATCCTAACCTCCTCCTCCTATATTTCATTCTCGCTCCTCTCCTCCCATCCCCGTCAAATTCATGCATACTAAACTATGCTTGCATTGCAGATGTTTGGTGGGGAATCACATGAATTTGCATGAAACTGCGGGACTATTATGTAAATTGGCCCTCCATGTGTGTATCTACCTCTCTTATTGCTCAATCCTCAGAGATCTGTGTTGGAGGAATGTGAAATTCAGTGTACCTGTCATTAGGCGCCACATGGGACACTCCTGGTGGAAAAAGAATTCGTACAAACAGATACATGTCTTCAAAGCTGTTTCTTAGAATAATGCCACAATGAATTTTTTTGCCTAAGTGAAGGTTGTTTGTATAGATAGGCAGGACCTGCTCTGCTCCGACCTCATTAAGGGACCTGAGATTGCGCTGCCCTGGCAACCTCTCCTTGGAAGCAGCTTTCCCATGAGCCTTTGCCCTCCGCTGTTCCCAACTTTCCCCAACCCCAGAAATGCCGCTTGACACCTCCGAGCCACCTTGTGTCTGCCATCTGCTATCCCCACGAGAGTCCCACAACCTTTAGCGAGGATCCTATGAACTGAAGGGAAAATCAAGTTAAAACTGCTGAAAAGTAGCTTAAAAGTTTTACTTCAAAGTCACACCACTCTTTTGTATTTGTGAATCTGTTTTAATATTGTTATACTCTGGAGCTACTGTGATATGCAGATGTTATAGGTCGAATATTACACCAAATTGACTATTGTGAGCTTTAAACCATGCTACAGTGTTGTTACTTCTTCAAAAACCTACCTGGAGTTGTGTTTTGTTTCATTCACATTTGTTTCTGTCTTCAACTCTAAAGCTCAAAATGCTCTGTTCAACTTTGTGATGTCACGAAGCAGTAGTTTTCAAACTTTTGGTCAGTAAAGATTGTCATTTCCAGAGCTGAAATTATCCAAATAATTCTAGTGAAGGTGTACGGAGTTTAAAAACACAGTGGAGCACTTGGAACAGAGTGTTTTTTCAGAGAAGAACAGTCTAAATATGCAGGATTAGTATGTTAAACATATTTGAATGAAACAAAACTTAACTCCAGGTATGTTTGTGATGAGGATGCAACATGATAACATAGATCAGAAAATAGTGTAATGTGAGCCCTTTAAATAAAGATGATTTATGCGTTACCAAGTCTTATAAATGCAACAAAGCCTATAGTTCTGACTACGATTCTCTTTTTGCCCACAACAGGGTTAACGTATGGAATGTTTTTTGTTTTATATTTTAGTAGAACCACTGTTCCTTAGACACTAAAACAGAAATGTGATTAAACCAACTTTCCCAACTAGATTTAGGAAAGTTTATATTGGATTTCCATCCAGAATCTTCATCAAAAGTTGCAAAAGCGCAGTTGTATATCTTGTAAGACAAACACTCCTCTACCAGTTTGTCTTTCCAATAAACAAATAAAATAAAGCTAGCGGGCCCCTCCTTCCCTTACTCTGGGGTTGAGTGCACAGCCGCTGAGAGCACTGGGTCATGCAGAAGGCCCGGGCAGATTGGCAGTTGGGAGACAGGAGCCCGGTGCTGCCCTCTTAAATGCTGGTTTTATTGCACCGCCATTTTGTTTACCGCAGAGGAGTGACATGGCTGTCTACAATGACCCTTTCACAACTTCGCAGACTCCTAAAGTAAAAATCTTTTCCTTTTTTTTTGTTGTTTTCACAACCCTGCCTCTATATAGCTAGATAAAGGGCAAAGGTGACTGTGGTAAAGATAGCCAAAGC